GATCGCCGCTATGAAGAAAAAGAAACTGCGGCAAATCGATGTCGCCAACGCATTCCTCTACGCACCCGTTGACGCCGAAATCTTCGTCGAGCTCCCACACGGTACCCACGGGGAACCTAATCAGGTTTGCCAGCTGCTGAAATCGCTCTACGGAATCAAACAAGCCCCGCGGCTGTGGCAACAGCACCTACACACTCGCCTCACTCGCACCGGATTCCGCCAACTGCCTCACGACCAAGGGATGTATCGACTCACCAAAAACGCCGACTATATCCTGCTAATCGTCTACGTCGACGACCTACTCTACATTGGCTCCACTGACGACATCACCACCTGGTTCGAAGGGGAGCTGCAGAGGGACCTCACACTCACGGTCTCCTCTACCGTCACTCAGTACCTCGGACTCAACATCCGCGAAGAAGAGAACGCGATCTATCTCAGCGCCGAAAAGTATGCCGACACTATCGCCAAACGCTTCGCACTCACACCTACTACTATCTCCACGCCATACCGCTACACGGCAGGGAACGACAAGGGAAGTTCCGCTCTACTCAAAACCGCCGGAATACGCGACTACCAGAGAAAGCTGGGCTGCCTTCTCTTTGCAGCCGTCACCTGCCGCCCAGATCTGTCCTACTCCGCAAGTCAACTCGCCACCTACCTCAAGAGACCCGAAACCGAACACCTAGCGGAGCTCGACCACGCACTACACTACTTCGTAAGCACCTCAACGATCGGTCTGACATATCACAAGACTACAACTACACTGACGAAACTAATCGGCTACGCCGATGCCGATCACGCCGGCGACTCAGACAACAGGCGCTCCCGCACTGGCTACATCTACCGCCTCGAACCTATCGGACCTATCTCCTGGCAATCGAGCAAGCAGGAACTAATCGCTCTCTCTTCAGCTGAAGCAGAATATATCGCCCTCTGCTCAGCCACCAAGGAAGGACTCTATCTTCGCGAGCTGTTGGAAGAAGCAAAGTTAGCCGAGTTACCCTACTTCACTTTGTTCTGCGACAACCAATCTGCGATTCGCATTGCCAACAAGAGCGGATTCGCGAACAGAACGAAGCATATCGCTCTGCGATATTTCTTCGTGAAAGACGAGACCGAGAAAGGGAAACTCGAACTATCCTACTGTCCCACGTCCGAGATGGCAGCCGACTACTTGACCAAGAAACTCGGAAAACAGAAGCTCGAGTACTGCATGCTGCTGACTGGACAAAGCCACGTCACCATCAGCGACACTCCAGAAGCGAAGGGGAGTGTTGGGAACAAATAAGTCCTAAACGCCTCTGTCGTGTCGAAACTCTAAGACACAAGCGAAGCAACGCAATCGAAGCACCAGCGAGTCAACCCTCGGAGGTTGATGTAACCGCTAGAGGTTACGCGAAAGTCAAAGGTCAGCGACCTTTGACCTGACAAATACAGCGCGACAGCAAGGACATACAACTGACTCGACATTGAGCAGTTGCCCGAGTCGCACTGTATCGAACCGCAACAGTAAAGTAGTTATAATGTCTCTTCATATTCTCCGTACTCATATACATATATATTCCTGTATCCCTTTGTTTTAATCAACTTACTTTGCCCTCACATACTAGCGCAAGGTGGTTCAAAGATGTCAGATTATTATAGCTGATGCATGTTTGTAGGCTATAGTGGGGTAGCACATATGGGGTACAGTTTGCTAGGGTTGTATTTGTACCCAACTCTGACTTAGTCAATTCATTCCTCTGCTCATAGTTTCACAAAAGACTTTATTCAAACGCTTCCGCTATTACATCATTTTACTCAGACTTTAACTCTACAAAGATCCTAGGGCGTCTCAGCCCAACAGAACTAAGGGTAAGCAGCGAAAAAGAAAGAGTGAGCAGCTGGGGAGGTGGAGGGCGCGGCATTGACAGCAGTGACGGGTGGGACGGAGCTTTGAGGGCCAGAAGATTGGTTGCTAGGACTTGTAATTGATGGGGTGAAGGCGGCGAGAAAGGGATGGGGGCCAAGAGAGGAAGGAGAGGCGAGTGAGGGAGGAGGCGTGGAGGGAAGGGAGAGAGTGCAGGAGCGGAGGCAGTGGGAGGACGGAAGGGAGTAGAAGGGAAGGGAGAGTGGCGTCGCAAAGGGAGGGGATGGGGAGGCAGATGTGTGTGGGAGGGGGTTCTATCAAGCCACGATGAGTACAGAGAGTGGGGATAGGATACAGAAGCACGACATAACAAGGAGGGTAAACGGGTCTAAGAGAAGAGCGGTGATAGGGCTAGGACACCGGAGTAGGGGTGGGGAGGAGGGAGAGCTGGACAGACACGAGAGAGTGAAAGAATGACGGGGAGAGAGAAATGACGGGGAGGTGAGGAAACAGAGAGAGGAGAGTGATCACATGGCGCGGTTTTCTTGACAGAGTGGGAGATTTGAGAAGCAGGGAGAGAGCACGGGTGGGGCCATTTTGACAGGAAACTCATGTATGGCGTGAGTGGTTGATGGCAGCTGCCCTTCCACCTGCTGCCCCACCCTCTGCCGTTTCAAACTCATATGCTATAGTCTGTGTAGGCTGTTATGGGGTAGACAATATGGGGTACAACACTTTTAGGTTTTCCTACTTGTACCCACCTACTTGCTAGTTCATTCATTCCTCATTTCTTCACATGGTATAGAGCAGGTTCCCTAGTGGGAACGCTTCTCAAGGCCCACCACTGAAATCGACTTTTTTTTTTCCTTACCGGAGCGCGAGTCGCCCCTGCCCGAGGCGCGCCCTGTTGGCCGCCCTCACGCCGCCTCTCACGGCCCCTCGCGCCACCCTTAGCGGCCCCGTCGCCACCCCTTACGGCCCCGACGCCGTCCTTTGCGGCCCCGTCGCCGCCCCTCTAGGCCCCTCGTGGCCCCTTCGCGGCCTCGTCGCCGCCCCCTCTAGGCCCCTCGCGGCCCCTTTGCGGCCCCGTCGCAGCCCCTAGCGGCCCCGTCGCCGCCCTTTGCGGCCCCGTCGCCACCCCTAGCGGCCCCGCGCCGCCCCTATCGGCCCCGTCGCCGCCCCTAGCGGCCCCGTCGCCGCCCCTAGCGGCCCCGTCGCCGCCCTTAGCGGCCCCGTCGCCGCCCTTCGCGGCCCCGTCGCCGCCCTTCGCGGCCCCGTCGCCGCCCTTCGCGGCCCCGTCGCCGCCCCTAGCGGCCCCTTCGCCACCTTTCGCGGCCCCGTCGCCGCCTCTAGCGGCCCCGTCGCCGCCCTTCGCGGCCCCGTCGCCGCCTCTAGCGACCCCTCCGCCGCCTCTAGCGGCCCCGACGCTGCCCTTCACGGCCCCTTCAGCTGCCAAGCAGCCAAACCGCCCAGCCGCCGAGCCGCCCAGCAGCCGAGCCGCCCAGCAGCCGAGCCGCCCAGCCGCCGAGCCACCCAGCAGCCGAGCCGCCCAGCAACCGAGCCGCCGAGCCACCGAGCCGAGCAACCGATTCGCCGTCGAGCCGCTACTGTTCCTACCAGCGTGCCCCGGCCCTACCCACCCGGACTGGTGAGAGCACTCCCTGCTAGACCACTGCTGTCATGGCTACCCCCCGTGTCCTTACCTTTGATGCTGAGGGTCGTGCTGTTGACTTTGAGGTCTGGGTCGATGACCTACAGCTGTTCCTACAGTGCGATAGGGCAGACGGACTCTCCCTGTTTGATCTCACCTCTGGTGCCTCTCCTGCCCCGCCTGCTACTGTTGACAGCACTGTTCGCTCACAGTGGGCCACACGCACTGCTGCTGCCCGTCTTGCTGTGCGTCGCCACTTACCGACCGCTGAGCGTGCGCACTTTAGTCAGTACAAGAGTGCTAAGACCTTGTACGACGCTGTAGTTGTACGCTACTCTTCCCCTGCCACTGCTGCTCTTAGCCGCCTCATGCTGCCGTACCTGTTCCCTGACCTTGTTGCCTTTCCCACAGTCGCTGACCTCATTACGCACCTTCGCACTAGTGACACTCGCTACCGCGCTGCGCTTCCTGCTGAGTTCTGTGCCAAGAACCCTCCCCCCATGTACATCACCCTCTACTACATAGTCACCCGGCTCCCTGACTCCCTTCGCTTAGTCAGGGACCACTTCCTCTCAGTTTGCCCCACCACACTCACCGTTGACCTCCTCGAGGAGCGCCTCCTGGCAGCAGAGAAGAGCATAGTCGCTGTAGGAGCCTCTCGTGGTGACCCTCGTACCCCCGTCTTTGAGGGGTGTTCCCCCTCCCCCCTCTTGCCCTCTGTTGTTTCTGCTGCTGCGGCCGACCTCGTTGGCTTCGAGTCGGTCGGCGCTGCGTCTCCCTCTAGCGGGAGACGCCGCACCGGCAAGGGCAAGGGGGGCAAGGGCGCTGGAGGGGCTGGCGAGGGCGGTGGAGGTGGTGGTGGAGGCAGTCGAGGGGGTGGGGGTGGTGGTGGGAGTGGTGGCGGGGGTGGAGGTGTCGGTGGCAGCAGTGGAGGCGAAGGAGGCGGCGGCGGTGGCGGTGGGAGCGGAGGCGGCGGAGGTGGCGGAGGCGGCGGCGGCGGTGGCGGTGGAGCTGGTCGCGGCTCTGCACGGAGGAGTGGCTCCGGTGGTGGTCCGCGCCAGCTGCAGCAGCGCACTCGTGAGACCCCGTCCCCCCAGCAGCTTCGTGAGTGGTACGCTGGGCGTCAGCGAGGTGGGGGTATTGGTCCCTGTACCTACGTCCTCCGTACCGGCGACCACGCTGGTGAGCAGTGCGGGGGCCCGCACTCCACCCAGCGCTGCTTCGGCCGCCTGACGGACGCTTGGCGTCACCAGTTCCCTGACGCCACTGAGATCCCTCGCTGGGGAGAGCTGTCTAGGGCGGGGGTTGCTATCTTTGATCCTGACTATGATGCTAGTCTTGCTGCCATGTATGCTGTGTCTACTAGTGATGAGGGTGACTGTTACCTGTGTGTTCCCTCCCTCTCTTACCCCACCCTCTGCTTCTCCACGTCGCACTTGGAAATATGGGAATGTCGGCAACAACAAATTGTGGCACCTGTTTATCAACGAGCTACCCTTACGCCAGACGTCCATCCATCTGGTGAACCAGGAGGGTGACGGCAGAGGGCAGGACAGGGGTGAAGAGAAGGTGAGTTGCGTGGGGAGATAGGGGGGTTTGAGAAGGGTGTGAGGCAGAGAGGGGAAAGGGGGAAGAAGGGTGAGGGGATAGGACAGGGCGGAGTGAGGTTGTAGGATAGGGTGGAGAGGAGGGATAGGAGAGGGCAGAGAGGGGGGAAAGAATAGGGAAAACAAGGGGGAAATGGAAGGATGGGGAAAGAGGGCAGGGAGGGGTGAGGGGAGTTTGAGAGGGGAGTAAGGTATAGAAAGGGGTATAGTAGAGGGGCTGCAACAGGGGGTGAAAAGACAGGGGAGGGGTGAAATGAGAGAAGGGAGGGGCTTGAAGGGAGAGAGGGAAGGGAGGATCGCGAGAGCAGGGAGTGGAGTGAGAGAAGATTGAGAGAGGGGACAAGGAGGGGAGAGAGGGACGCACGCATGATGGCATGAATGCGCTCCCTCTGCCTCTAAAATCTCCCGGACGTGTTTATTCCGCCTACTGCCCATCATGGCTCCCGCTGCCGTTGCCACTGCAGCGCTGCCTGCTGCAGCGAGACCGCTAGTTACTGGCGCTCATGCTTACGAGGATTCTCTGCTTCGATATAGCGCAGGCGCTCCGCAGATTCAGCGCAGTTGGTGCAGTCGGGTCAGTCGGCGCAGAGCTAGCGCGGGCGCGAGTGTGCGCTCGCGCGGAGGGGAGGACGGCGGGGGCAGAGGACGTTGAATGCGGGTCCAGCGATCAGATTCTCTATATCGAAGGTGCGCTACACGAACATGAACGAAACGTTGTGGGGAGGGAGAGGGTGACGGGAGGGGGAAGGCGAGGTCGACGGGAGGGGGAAGGCAGGTCGACGGGGAAGCAGGTGGAAGCGGCTCCTTCCGTCCCCCTCGAGACCCCCCCCCCTCCCTGTCACTCCTCACTCTTGTCCGCCACGCGTGCGAGACTGCTCCTTGATCCCGTCTGCCCCTTGCGCAAATACGCTACTACCTCCCGTCCACGCCTTGCCTTAAACCGCTGCTCCCTTTCTTCGCGTGTTCCTCCCGCGTAATCGCGGCTCACTCCCGCGTAACGGGGCGAAGCAGGGGAAACGGCGAGCATCGAGCGGAGCTGCACTAGTGGCAACACTGAAAGCGGGGTGCGGAAAGCAGGAGCGAATGCGCTGAGCTGAAAGCGGGGAGCAGGATGCAGCGAGCAAGCCCCTTGCGACGCGTTGGTTGCAACGAGCAACGTCAGTTCTGCGGCGACCGTCGCCGAGTGGGCTGCGACACGCGGCGACTAGCGGCCATTCGAGCTTCGAGCTGTAAGCGGAAGGCGACGCGGGAGGATGATGATTATAAGACTACAAATGGCATCAACACGCCTACGAACGATGACTTGAATGGCTCGCTATCGGCCAGCGACGAACTGCGACATTTGAACCGTGGCAATCTATCCGTCTCTTTTGACAAATAGCGAGATGTTCTAAACTCTTACCAAGTCTAACGCTTCCTAAGGCTAATAAGAGGTCATTGGCGGGCCCTCTGCTTTTGTGGCTGGGTTGTTGTGGAGCGAGTTTTGGTACACAAATTCCATTGCAGTAACTAGCAAGTTCCCAACCCAGTTTCCTTCGCGCACAACTGACAGGGGGGAACTCCTCGTCGCTCTCTGCAGGGGTTGGGGCATAGTTGTCGCCCTCCACTTCTTGCCACAAACCCGGTAACCACCCAGAGGCAAGTGATAAACCTTTGCCTCCACCCCCCCCAAAAGTGCACCCTTACTTTAATTCTTACGGTATGTTAACATGCAGATGCCACACCCCGTTATCAAAATCAGGCCGTGCTGCTGATTGTCAATCACCCCAAAAGGGGGTGATGACAGACAGGCATCAGACATTTATGGATGTCCCTAACGCCAGACATGTATGTGAGTGACCCACCTTCGTGTCGCCAAGTACCGTAGATCTCTGAGCCCAGAACCAATCGGAGGGTCTAGTGCGTGTTGCCATGTGAATATGATCTGTAAGCCTTCCTCAAATGGACCAGAGAAATATTTACTGACCGATTGAGTTGGATTTCCCATAATTGGATTATTGGAGACGTTTTGTGCCTTTGGACAGATAAAGTGGCAAGAAGTTAAGGGCCATGCGAGACATTTGTGACCTTTGCATCAGAATCCCCTGCACAGCACAGCACCAAAAGAAGGTTCAGGGCAGAAAAAAAAAGGGTTGGGGAATGCAAGCAAATGGGGTATCGTATCAATTAGTACTGGTTCCGGTCGCGGTGAAAACATGGAAAGAGATTTTGTAGAGGGGCAACTGTTGGGCATACACAGAATGAAGGATGAGTCATATGGACGTTGAGTGAGACGGAACAGAAGCATACACAGAACAAGCTGATGCGGAGAAGTTGTGTGCTTCAGTAAAACGCACAGTATTCCTGATAGAAGACACTCATTCAGATGGCAAGAAAACATCGTCTTTGTATCAGGTCAGAGGTACATTCCCTCCCCGTCGCCCCACATTCCACATGCATCACACCACATCCGATCATCCCACTGGCTTGCCCATACCTGCAGGGCTTGCCCATACCTGTAGGGCTTGCCCATATCTGCAGGGCTTGCCCAAACCTGCAGGGCTTGCCCGTACCTGCAGGGCTTGCCCATACCTGCAGGGCTTGCCCGTACCTGCAGGGCTTGCCCGTACCTGCAGGGCTTGCCCGTACCTGCAGGGCTTGCCCGTACCTGTGAGGCTTGCCCATACCTGCAGGGCTTGCCCATACCTGCAGGGCTTGCCCATACCTGCAGGGCTTGCCCATACCTGCAGGGCTTGCCCATGCCACTCCAGGCATGAGCCCATCATCCCACCCGCAAACAGCCATGGCCCTCCTTCCCCATGCATCCATGCTCACTGCTGCACTCCCTCCCCACCACCCTACCCCACCTGGAAGCTTGCCCATCACACCCCCATCACCCATATCCCTCATCCCACCCCACCCACCTAGCATCACATCTCATCCCACCCCACCTAGCATCACATCTCATCCCACCCACCTTGCACGTTGGCCATGATCCACGCGGGCTTCTGGCGAAAAAATCTCTGGTGCCGCCTGACCATCTCACCTGGAGTGCTTGGCTTGGCCCCCATGCTCGCCCCACCATACCTGAAGCGCTTGACCATCCTTCCTTCATCCCATCCCACCCACCTGGCGTGTTTGGCCATGGTCCAGTCGAGCTTCTGCCGAAATTCCCGCTGCTGCCACCTGATCTCCGCCTCCTCGGTGCGCAGCCGCTTCAGCTCCGCGCCCTTCCAGTAGTGCGACCTCGCCCGAGCCACGTGGATAGCATTGTCCGTTCGTAAATTTATCTTGAACCTGCAAAGAGAGGGGGGGAAGAGGGGGGCGAGGGGGGGGGGAGAGGGGGGAGCGCAGTCGCTTCAGCTCCACGCCCTTCCAGTATTGCGCCCTCGCCCTCGCCACCCTTATGGCGTTGAGCGTGCGTAGCTTGATCTTGAACCTGTAAGCGGGGGAAGGGAAGGGCTGGGAAGGGAGAAGAGGGAGCAGCAAGGGCATAGGAGTTATCTCCGCGGCATTGCCCGCGCCACCCTTATGGCGTTTTCCGTGCGTAGCTTGATCTTGAGCCTGCAAGGATGGGGAGAGGGGAGGAGCGACAAGTGCATGGGAGTGGCATTGAGCATCCGTGTGCCATTGACCATCCGTGTGGCATTGACCATCTGTGTGGCATTGACCATCCGTGTGGCATTGAGCATCTGTGTGGCATTGAGCATCTGTCTGGCATTGACTATCCGTGTGGCATTGACCATCCGTGTGGCATTGACCACCCACAAATCTAAACCAGCATGCAGGCAATTTGAGCATTCAAAAGCAGACAACTTTCTCGGGTCGCATGCCTTCACACACGCTCGGGTCGCAAGAGCGTAGAAACTCAGCCTGTGCCTGTTCTACTCTCAAGGTGACGTTTGAGTTGACTCAAAAGTCACCTTAGACTGATCCTGCTCTGCTCCACAAGGCTGTGTCACAGTGCTGCTACCCGAGCCTGTTCCCCGATCTGTCTTACAAGGTTGTTGGGTCCTACACGTGAGAAGCGAGCGAGTCAGAGAGTGGGTGGGTGAAAGCACGGGTGGGTGAAAGCACGGGTGGGTGAAAGCACGGGTGGGTGAGAGCATGGGTAGGTGAGAGCATGGATGGGTGAGAGCATGGGTGGGTGAGAGCATGGATGGGTGAGAGCATGGGTGGGTGAGAGCATGGATGGGTGAGAGCATGGGTGGGTGAGAGCATGGATGGGTGAGAGCATGGGTGGGTGAGAGCACGGGTGGGTGAAGGAATACGGTATATTAAAGAGCGTAGCGATAGCGAGAGAGTTTCTGCTATGGGAATGATGTTGCGCCAGCAACTTGGTCGAGCTTCGATAGCGTTTGTCTCTAAGGACTTAGTGAGAATTGAAGTAGCATTTTGGGCCAAGTAGAATTGCAATATCAACCATGAAATACAAAGCAAACACACAAGATAGATATAGGCTACGGGTAGGTTCACAAAGTTGGTGTGGCGCTGCGGGGTAACCCAACCCCACGAAAGTGGTGTGTGGGTGAGCGAACGCGCCTCGCCAATTTCCCAACCCACCTCAGCAGCGAAAGTCACTGCCGAGCACGCCAGTTCTCCCAGCACAGCTGGAAGTAGTGTGACCAAGCAAGAAGTACCCACAACTACCAAGACTAGCTAGGAAGTGGCTGAATCATTCCCACAACTTCCCTAGACTAGCACCACCCCAGCAACGACTTTATTAGCGCCATTATAGTCACACGACGTCATCACGCTAGTATCGCCAAGTCACAGGGTTGGTGCTGGGCTGTTCGTAGTCTTGCTTAGTCGGTTGTCAACCTGCCAAGTCAGGAATATCACGAGGGCCCTTGCTGTCGTAGGGCCCTCTAACAAGAGCATGGGTGGGTGAGAGCATGGGTGGGTGAGAGCATGGGTGGGTGAGAGCATGGATAGGTGAGAGCATGGATGGGTGAGAGTATGGGTGGGTGAGAGCATGGATGGGTGAGAGCATGGGTGGGTGAGAGCATGGATGGGTGAGAGCATGGGTGGGTGAGAGCATGGATGGGTGAGAGCTTGGACGGACAAACAAGTCAATGCCTGACCTATCCTTCCCTCTCCCCCATGCCTCAGTTTTTACTTAAAGCCTAACTCACTTCTTAATAGCTCAATCCACATCGCCTCTCAACGAACACGCCCCTCGCCTGCTCCGCGCCCCCATTGGTCGCTTCCTCATGCCTCACTCACCCTCTCCTCTGTCCCCAATAGCTCACCCTCTCACCCTCTCCCCCCACTCCCCCCTAAGGGCGTGTGACATTTTCTAAAAGCTGTAAAAGTCCAGACAACTGTCCAAGAACGGTTCGATTACCGAATATCGGACGGTCCTAGTCCAACGTCCAGACTGAGCCTCGTCCGGACGTAGTTATGACACTTTTTTCAAACTTACGAAATTTGGAATACTGACGAGATTGTAACTAGGACAACGATGCCATCGCGATATAGGTAACGTCCAAGCGACACGCGGAAAAGAATTCGTCGGCCAGTGAAATCGCGTTACTATTGCGACCGTCCGCATTTCGAACGGTATGCGTCCGGACAATTTGAGAGGGCAATATATGCAAAAAGTTCCATCTGAAGTCCGGTCGTTTGCGACGTCGCATGGGTCCTAACGAAAAACCCTACGAGAACTAACGAAGCGGGTAACCCTTAAGATGTCCGGACCAAGTCTTATCCGGACGGGCAAGATGGGAAAATGTCACACGCCCTAACTCACTTCTTGATGGCTCGATCCAAGTTGCCCTATTTAACCTCCACGAACACGCCCCTCGCCTGCCCCACACCCGCCGCCCGCGCTGCAACCACTGCGGTGTGCGCAGCGCGAAGCGTTGGCGCGGCGGAAGCGGGGGAGGGAGCGCGACCGACGGCGAGCGCACGCGGTAGTGCGACGAGGGTGCGAGTCGGTGCCTCTGGGACGAAACATCAAAGCGGGGATGATCAGGAAATCGACGACTGGGAGGCCTGCGGAGCTGATCTGCCTGCGCCTGCGATCCAATCAGCGCCCGGCGCACCTTGCGCCGAGATCGAAAAGCGCGGCGCGCATGACGCGAGTTGGAAGCGAGCGAGGAGGTCTGATGCTACTGGTGGTGCTGGCAGTGGCGGCGATGCGTGAAAAGAAGGTGCAACGGCGGACGGCCGTGCTGGGGGTTGAGGGACGCGCCGCATCGACACGGCGGACTCGAGAGAGGCGGCGATGCACGGCATGCGGGGGAGTGCGGGGCGGGCGGTGAATGCGGCAGCGGTGGTGGTGAAGGCGGAGCGCAAGTGACGCGCGGATGAGCGAAGAGCGGAAGGCATGGCTTCTTGACCACGCGAGTGGTGTGGTGTGACCCGTGATTATGGTACGGTATGCCTAAGGGCGCGTGTGGTCTGTTTAGAAGTTCAAAATAAAGTTCGAACTTTGGGTGGTTACCCTATTCGCTAATTTCGCGAAGGGTGCTTCGCGAACCAAGCATTGTATGGGCTCTGCAAAAGTTCGAGTTTGAAATATGAACTTGACTCGAGTCGGAGGCGCGAACGTGCGTGCGCACGTTCATGCGAGCGTGTGTGATTTGCAGCACGTCCGAACAGCTGGCGAAACGGGCGAGCGCTTCGCCAGTGCATGAAGTTGCACAACGAAGACACCCCACAATTCGTGCACACAGTTGTAGCCACGTGTCCAGCATACAAGGTGTTGCCATGGGGGCTATTTGTACCCTGGTTACACACTCGGCGCGGAAGGTGAGTTGGAGCTCTAGGTCCTTGTAAACCGAGGCGCAAAATGTTGACGTGGCGCACCGTCAAGACGAGCGAACCGGGTAACCTATGATGTTGACGTGCGGCTCGGCTCGTTTTTACAAGTTCGAATGTCGGGGTTCGACCTTGTATGTGTGTGTGATTTTTTACAGTGTGGTGAGCCCGATGTTCGAACTTCGATAGAAGGAAATTCAAACTTCTTTCGTTGTAAGTTCGAAACTAAAATTCGCCCTAAAAACATAAACTTTTACAAATTTCAAAGACCTCACGCGCCCTAACTGGCTACGTATACGTTAGTACTCACGTTCACTAGAAATATGAGCCCCACATTTATATGGTGGAGGCATTCATTCAAGCTGACACTGCTGATATGGTTCACAAAGAATTCTATCACCCAACCAAATTTCTGTATTTCTTTGTTGCTCTTTTGATTTCACTTATATAATATCTAGGAGTTGCAATACACCGTAAGGTTGTCATAGTGAGACATGTACACAACAAATCGCATTACTGGGAAATATACCAGACAGACAGGTCCTGTCCTGATATTGTGCACGTGAGTGCACTGAGCTGAGCTGCTGAATTTCTTGAACCATTTACACAATCGGCAGCTCCCCCTACGTGCATTTCTCCTGCTAAAGAAGTATTCAAGCTTGGAAAATTCACAATCGAGACTTGGGCCTGCTACCACCTTCAAGATTACCCATTTCCTTCGCCCTCTCCCTCAAAACAAACTTTTGAATCTTGCCCGTCGCGGTCTTGGGCAGCTCCGTAAAAACAACCGTCCGGGGCGCCATATAATGCGGCAGGTGGTCGCGGCAAAACGCGATTATATCCCCCTCACCCACACGCGCGTGCTGCTGCCCTGGCTTGCGGCACACAAAGGCGCACACGGACTCCCCCCACATGGTATCAGGGCGGGCCACCACTGCAGCCTCCAGCACGGATGGGTGGCGGTATAGCACTGCCTCCACTGCTATGCTGCTCACATTCTCACCACCCGATATGATGATGTCCTTTGAGCGATCCTGGTGGAGGACAGAGGTGCGCAACATAACGTGGGAGATATGGAGGGTGGGATACGAGTGGTGTGGTGCTTGTGGAGCTGAGTGCGTGGGAGATGTGTGGGGCGGAGATACATACCATCCCACAATCTCACCATCCCATCATCCCACCATCCCACCTTGAGTTGATTGTGGGTGCATGACAGCCAGGTCCCCCGAGTGGAACCATCCACCTTGGAACGCTGCCTCAGTGGCAGCCGGGTCAGCCGCATACCCCTTCATCACCATGTTGCCCCTCAGCATCACCATGTTGCCCCTCAGCATCACCATTACAAGTCGACTGTAATTGCACCTTGCATCACCACAAACCCACCATCCCACCAACCCACTATCACCGCACCTTGACTTCAATGTACCCATCGGGGTGCATGACAGCCAGGTCCCCCGAGTGGAACCACCCGCCTCGAAAAGCCGCTTCAGTAGCCCCCCGGTCGGCGGCATACCCCTTCATCACCATGTTCCCCCGCAGCATCACCTCCCCCATGCTGCGCCCGTCTGCTGCCACGTGGCGCATTGTGACTGGGTCCATGACTGCTAGTCCTTCCAGGGCCATGCACCGCACGCCCTGTCGGTGGGGAGGAGATGGGGGGAGAGAGGGTGGTGCGAGGAGTGGTGGTAAAAGGAGGGGTTGGGAAGGGGAGGTGGTAAAAGGAGAGGGATGTAGGAGGAGAGACAACAAAGAGAGAGGGGTTGGGGAGGAGAGGTGGTAAAAGGGCACGGGTTGAGAGGAGAGGTGGTGGAAGGAGAGGGGTTGAGAGGAGAGGTGGTAAAAGGAGCCGGGGCGGGAGGAGAGGTGGTAAAAGAGAAGGGCTGTTGCTTTGAAAGCGAAGGCGAATGCAAACAAGGATCGCAAGGGTTATGACATTAAGCAGGACGGGACGAGCGGCAAGAAAAGGTGGATGAGCGAAATTAAGCTGGTTGGCAAGTCGCACCAAACCTGCAGGCCAGACGACAGGATGGAGATGACCTACTGCAACGGGCTTGCGATGTCCGTCTTTGACAGGTGCATTGGCTGTGTCTTCCTTGACGAGATAACAAACATGCCGATTCAGATACTGCTCGCCATCTCGTCAAGGAAGACACGGCCAATGCACCTGTCAGAGATGGACATCGCAAGCCCGTTGCAGTAGGCCACCTTCATCTTGTCATCCGACCTGCATGTGTTGCGCGACTTGCCAGCCAGCTTCATCTTCTCCCATCCACCTTTTTCCGCCGCTCATCCTTTCCTGCCTTACACCATGTCCCTTGCGATCCCTTTCCCACCTTCGCCTTCGCTTTCGAAGCAGTTGCTTTTCCCTTCAGTTTCACCTTTCCTCGCCCGCTCATACGCCTCCGTCAGCCCGTATGCATGCAACACTTCAAACTCCATCACCTCCATCCACAACCAATGCACCTCTACCGACCCCTCACCCACCTTCCACCCGCCACACCACATGCACCATGTACTGCACACCTCTAATCCTGAACCTCCACCCCCCATTCCACCCAGTATGCACCATCCACGCCTCACCCCACCTGTCTCGCCTTGAGCCTCGATTGCTCGCTCTCATCCGCCCCTCGCCACCGCTCTTGCTGCCACTCGCATACCACAGCTGGCCCATACGTCTCCATCAGCCCGTATGCATGCATCACCTCAAACCCCATCGCCTCTATCCCCTACCAATGAACCTCTACCTAACCCCCAGCCCTCAATCCACACACCATGCAGCACGCACCATGCACACCCCTAATTATACATCTTGCATCCACCACAAATCATCCACAGTCTCTCACCCACCTGTCTAGCCTTGAGTCTCGCCTGTTCGCTCTCATTCCGCCCCTCTCCACTGTTCATGCTGCCACTCGCACACCACAGCCGGCCCGTACGTCTCCGTGCAACACATCAAACCCCATCGCCTCTATCCACCTCCAATGCACCTCCACCCCTCTTACCCACCTGTCTAGCCTTCAGCCTCGCTCGTTCGCTCTCATCCGCCCCTCTCCACCGCTCTTGCTGCCACTCGCACACCACAGCCGGCCCATACGTCTCCGTGAGCCCGTAAGCATGCAGCACGTCAAACCCCATCGCCTCTATCCCCGCCAGCACTGCTGGTGGCGGCGCTGCCCCCGCTGTCATCACATGTACCCGCCTCGCCTCCTGCCCCCCCCCGCTGCTGCCCTCCCAATTCCCCTCACTATAGCCACCCCTTCTGCCTTCCCTGCTACCCTCGCTATTGCCCTCCCATCTGCCCTCGCTATAGTCACCCCCTCCACGCCCCTGGGCGCGCTGGGCGGCGAGGAAGGGCAGGCGGAGGGAGTCAGGCGCGTGGATGAGGAAGGAGAGCACCACGGGGGCTGCACACATGTGGGTGACTCGGTGGCGCGGGATGAGAGAGAATATGCTGGCCGCTGTGACCTGGTGGGGAGGGGAGGGGACGCATGGTTGTAGGGAGTCGGGGGCGTGGATGAGGAAGGAGAGCACCACGGGCGCGGCGCACATGTGGGTGACGCGGTGGCGCGGAATTAAAGAGAAGATGCTGGTCGCTGCCACCTGGTGTGGGGAGGAAGGGCAGGCGGAGGGAGTCAGGCGCGTGGATGAGGAAGGAGAGCACCACGGGGGATGCACAATTGTGTGTCACTTGGTGCTGGGGGATATGAGAGAATATGCTGGCTGCTGTGACCTGATGGAGTGGGGGTGAGGGGGGTGGGTGGGGGAGTCGGGGGCGTGGATGAGAAAGGAGAGCACCACGGGCGCGGCACACATGTGGGTGACGCGGTGCCGGGGACCGAGAGAGAAGATGCTGACTGCGAGGTAGGTGGGGAGGGGGTTGGGTGAGAGAGGAGGGTGCGTGGATGAGGAAGGGGAGGACGACAGGAGAGGCGCACATGTGTGTCACTCGGTGGCGAGGGATGAGTGAGAATATGCTGGCTGCTGTCACCTAGTGTGGTGGGGGAAATGGGTGTGGAAGTTGGGTGCGTGGATGAGGAAGGAGAGGACGACAGATTCTGCTCACATGTGTGTCACTCGGTGGCCAGGGATGAGAGAGAATATGCTGGCTGCAGTCAACTGACGAAAAGGGAAGGGAAGGAGCATGTGTAGGAGAGGAGGGTGTGTGGATGAAGAAGGAAGAAGATCACCACGAATGCGGCATAACACAAAGCGGAGGATGACCGTGCGGCTGGTTAACAACTGGCCCATGGAGGTCAAGACTTTTGGCGAACCGAATCATGAATTCTCGATGGCACGCACTTATTTGTGTTGCGCAACGTCCTTCTGGTCTGGGCTTCTTGCGCTACCCTACTCGTGGCTAAGACGGAAGACATGCTCCCGTGGCTGTCCGATCTTCGCCATTCTTGTCGACCGAAGGATCCATACGACGGGTCCTCCTACTCTTAGAAGCTCGGTCTTCCGGTAGTGGCTGAGGGTGACCCCACCTCCGAGCGCATCCCTGCTGTGATCTGGCTTCCTGATGAGTAGGAGCCAACGCTTTTGAATCTATTATGTCACTCTTGCACAGTGTGCTCCAGCAACCACCGCATCAGTGACCATGCGTGCTTCGTGCTCACCTGCCGGCAGCACCTTCCCAATAAGCACACCTTTTTGGTGGCTCAACTCCAAACCTAATTTATTGTATATGTATATATCCTGATGAGCCACCAAAATGATGTGCTTGATGGAAAGGAGCTGCCGACGGGTGAGCACGAAGAACACGCATGGTCAGCGACGCGGTGGTTGCTGGAACACTCCGTGCAGGAGTGACAGAAAAGATTCAGCAGCGCTGGTTCCTACTCATCAGGAAACCAGAGCACAGCAGGGATGCGCTCAGAGGCGGGGTCACCCTCAGCCACTACCGGAAGACCGAGCTTCTAAGAGTAGGAAGACCCGTCGTATGGATCCTTCAGCCGACGGAAACGACGAAGATCGGACAGCCATGGAAGCTCGTCTTCCATCTTGGCCAAGAGTAGGGTAGTGTGGAAGGATTCCTGCGAGAAGCCCAGACCAGGAGGACGTTGCGCAGCACAAATAAGTGCGTGCCATCGAGAAGTCGTAATTCGGTTCGCCAAAAGTCTTGACCTCCATGGGCCAGTTGTTAGCCAGCCGCACGGTCATCAGGAAAAGTATGCTAAAAAAAACCGTGCGCCTGGCTAACAACCAGCCACACCCCACCGTGCCACACCCCACCAAGACACATCCCACCAAGCCACACCCCACCAAGCCACACCCCTCTACGCCACACCCCTCCACTCCACAGCCCTCCACACAACACCCCTCCACGCCACACCTCACCACGGCACACCCCTCCATGCCACACCCGACCGTGCCACGCCCAACCGTGCCACGCCCGACCGTGCCACGCCCGACCATGCCACGCCCGACTGTGCCACGCCCGACCGTGCCACGCCCGACCGTGCCACGCCCGATCGTGCCATGCCCGACCGTGCCGCGACCCACCATGCCACAGCCCACCGCGGCACACCCCACCATACCATACCCGACCTCGCCACACACCTCCCTCCAGCACACGTTGGTGCCAACAACAGTGGCGAGCACCCAGGGGTAGGTCCAGCCATTGCAGTGGAAGAGAGGCCACACCTGCTTGCAACACACCCCCCCATACACCTCTCTCTGCCCCTCCACATACCTCCCTGCAACAAACATTCGTGCCAGCCACAGCGGCGAGCACCCAGGGGTAGGTCCAGCCGTTGCAGTGGAAGAGAGGCAGCGTCCACAGGTACACGGGGCGCTGCCCTCCTGGCAGCGCATGGAGTCCCCACGCTAGCACGTTCGCTAGGGCTGATAGGTACGCGCCTCTGTGCGAGCATACCACACCCTGGGGGAATGGGGAAAAGGGGAGAGAGAGTGGGGGGAGAGCTTCAGGAAGAGAGGCAGCGTCCACAGGTACACGGGGCGCTGCCCCCCTGGCTGTGCGTGCAGCCCCCATGCTAGCACGTTGGCCAGTGCTGATAGGTACACGCCTCTATGTGTGCACACCACACCCTGAAGAAGTGGTGGAAGAGGGAGTGGAGAAGGCTTTTGAGTCGACTCAAAACTCCCTAGGGGGATGGGGGAAACGGGAGGGAGTGTGGTCGCCTGGCAGCGCATGCAGCCCCCATGCTAGCACGTTCGCAACGGCTGATAGGTACGCGCCCCTGTGCGTGCATACCACGCCCTGGGGGAATGGGGAAAGGGGAGAGAGTGTGGGGGAGGGAAGGAAAAGACCTTTGTAACACCTTCCGATTCATGCAAGGACTGCTCGAGTGGGGGGTAATCTTCAAGAAGAGCGGTAGCGTCCAGAGGTACATGGGGGACTGCCCGCCTGGCAGCGCGTGCAGCCCCCATGAAGATCCACGTCCACATGCTAGAACGTTTGCTAGGGCTGATAGGTACGCGCCTCTATATGTGCACACCATGCCCTGGGGTGGGGGGATGGGGGGAGTGGGAGAGAATGAGTGGAAGCGTCCAGAGGTACACGGGACGCTGCCCACCTGGCAGCGCGTGCAGCCCCCAGGTAAGGAAGTTCGCCAGGGCTGAAAGGTATGCGCCTCTATGTGTGCACACCACACCCTGGGGGGAATGGGGGGAGAGGGAGAGAGGCAGCGACCACAGGTACACGGGGCGGGGCGCTGCCCTCCTGGCAGCGCATGCAGCCCCCATGCTAGCACGTTGGCTAGGACTGATAGGTACGCGCCCCTATGTGTGCACACCATGCCGTGGGGGAATGCACGGAGAGGGAGAGAGTGAGCGACAGTGTCCAGAGGTACACGGGGCGCTGCCCGCCTGGTAGCGCGTGGAGCCCCATGCGTTGGCCAGGGCTGATTGGTACGCGCCCCTATGTGTGCACACCATGCCCTGGGGGGACCGGGTAGGCGGAAGGGGAGGGGAGGAGAGTAGAGGGGGAGCACAAGGGGAAACAGAGAGGCTAGGCAGGGGCAGAGGGGAGAAGGGTGTGCAGCCTCCACGCGAGCACGTTGGGCAGCACTGCTATTTTGAGGCGCCTCAAAAGATGACTTTTTGCGGCGCCTAAAAAGACGATTTTTGAGGCGGCTTTTGAGGCGATTTTTCAGGCGCCTCAAAGATTGTGCAGCCCCCACGCGAGCACGTTGGGCAGCACTGCTAGGGAGGGAATACACGCCTCTGTGCATACACACGCACACCATGCCATGCCCTGGCGCAGGGAGAAAGAATGTGGGTGTGGGGGGGAACGGGGAGCAAAAGTTTTACGAATTTTAGGATTCTCAAAAGCTTTATGGTAAGCTGCAGAAGCACGATCAAGAACAGCAGCCGGTGGCAGGCAGGCACTTGGACGCAATGAAAGCAGAGGGCAGAGCAGGTTGGGCATGGGAGGCAGAGGGAGGAGCGAGCGAGGCACACGTGAGAGCACTTTGGGTTGGGCGGTGGTGCCTGATGTGTAGTTGAGAGCAATGGCATCCCACTCGCCCTCCACCACGCCCCTACTCCCATCATGTGCATGGGAGCGGCGGCTTTTGAGTTGACAAGAAAGAAAATTCTCATATCACCTTGGGTTGGGCGGTGGTGCCGGAAGTATAATTGAGAGCAATGGCATCCCACTCATCCTCCACCACGACCCTTCTCCTGCCCTCGCCCTGCACGCCCTCCTCTCCACCCTCCCACTCCCACTCGTACTGCTCATCCCCTTCCCCTACCAGCTCCTCATACGTCACCACTCCCCCCCTCTCCCCTCCCCTTCCCCTTCCCCCCCTCCCACCCCCTCCCCCTCCTCCTCTGTTCAGTGATGCTGCCAGGGCTGCCACGTCAGCAGCGCTGCCACCTGGATCGCTCTGATCGGATGGCTCTTCGTCATCTTCGATAATGACAACCTGGACGGGAAAGGGTGGGGGGAAGTGCATGGTTGGGAGAAGGCAGGGCAGGTTACATGCAGGAACACAGGGAGATGGGGACGACAAGCCTATCTTGTTGCACATCTTTTCATACAGTTCTCAAGGAAATGGGGAAGGGGAGATAGGAACGGGGAGAAGATGAACGGCGAAAACAAGTATAGCTTGCGCCAACGCGACACATGACACATGACACATCACACATCCAACTCACCACCAGCACCACCCACCTGCGGCATGCCTGACACACGTCCCTTCTCCCTCAATAGACCCGGCAGCAGCAGCAGGGCATCAGTAAGCAGCGGTGCCAGGGAGCGGTGGGCCATGACCAGCCGGGCAGAGCCGTGGGCGAGGATGAGGGCGACTGTGCGGGCGTCCAGGCGCGTGTTGATGGCGTTCAGCACGGCCCCCGCCATGGGCACTCCGAAGTGTGCCTCATAGAGCGCTGGTACATTGGGCGCCAGCACTGACACCTGGGGGTTGGGGTATAGAGTGGGGGAAGGGGGACAGAGGGCAGGGAGAGGGGATGAGGATGAGGACGACAGTACGCGCATCCAGGCGCGTGTTGATGGCGTTCAGCACAGCGCCCGCCATGGGCACTCCGAAGTGTGCCTCATAAAGAGCTGGCACATTGGGCGCCAGCACTGACACCTGGGGCGGAATGGGGAGAGGGGGAGGGGGGAAGTGGGAGGATTGATGCGAGCGAGATTACGCGCGTCCAGATGAGCGTTGATGGCGTTGAGAACATCACCCACCATACGCACACCAAAATGCGCTCCATAAAGAGCAGGAACGTTAGGTGCCAGCACTGAAACCTGGGGGGAGAAGGGGGAGAATGGGGAGAGGGGGAGTGGGGGAACTGGGAGGATTGATGAGGGCAACGGTGTGGGCGTCCAGGCGCGTGTTGATGGCGTTGAGAGCAGCGCCCGCTATGGGCACTCCGAAATGCGCTTCATAAAGAGCAGGTAGGTTGGGCGCTAGCACTGCTACCTGGAGGGACAGATAAGAAGCAGCGGAGGGAGGGTTGGGGTTGAGGGTGGTTGTGTTGTGGTGGTATCGGGGTGAGGGGGGTGCTGTGATGACATGGGGAGTAGAGGTGCCTGCGTGTTGACGGCGCTCAGTGTTGCGAGATGCCAGGACGGGGCTGGGAGGGAGTGGCGGGAGGGCGGATTGGGTGCTGGCCTTAACGCATGGTGGATGGAAAGGGGAAGCACATGGATTGCGGATTGGGGAGGAAAAGCGCGGACACGAGATGCTGCCTCGGGCGGCGTTGCTGGGAGCAGGTCCACGCGCCACGAGGCGGCGCTGCTGGGCAACGGCCTCTTGGATCTGCGCGGTGCCACAGCCACGCGGCGCCAGCCACCAGCCACGCGGAGCCGGCCACCAGCCACGCGGAGCCGGCCACCAGCCACGCGGAGCCGGCCACCAGCCACGCGGAGCCGGCCTTGTTCGGCACAACACATCAAAGGACATAGTAACCTCTTATGGTGGGGTTTGCGGCTTCCCCCGATCGAATAACGTTGGAAACACAAACCAGACTCGACAGACAGATGGACGGACCGTGTCGTTCTTCCCGATGCCGCGGCGGCGCAGCGCGGACGCGAGTTTGCAGCAGCGACGGTACGTCTGGCGCCACGTCCACGATTGGTCGCCGTACACCACGGCGCATCGGTCGCCGTGCACGTCGGCGGCGCGGCGGATGAAAGTCAACGGAGTCAACGGAGCGTAATTCGCCGCGTTTCGAGGAAGCGCGTCGTTATCGAAAGGACTCGTCATGGTTGCTCCCGAGAAAAAAAATAGTCACGCGCGAATAACGGCCGAATAACGCGCGAATACCGGCCGAATAGCATCCAAATAACACGCGAGTAACACCCGAACAACGGCCGAATAATACGCGCCCGTATAACGTCGAAATAACGCACGGATTTCGGTAGAGCCTCGGTATGCTCTCTGCGAGCGCAAATTCTGGACGAGAAAGAGTTTTCCAAAAGAAGCAAGCAGGAAATTCGGGAGGAAAAGAGCAGGAACTAGGAATTCGCGAGGTCGTGCGGAGAACAGCAAAGAGCAGCACGGACGCTGACCAGCTAGAGGAAAAAGGGAGGGGAGGAAGGAACCCTTCCGACAACTGACTGGCTGACCGGCTGGCTGATGTGGAAAGCGGGGTGAGTGACGTGGTGCGATTGATAGGGAGCAGGGTTGGAGGGAGATGTGGTAGGGCGTTAGGAGTGCAATGCGAGCGAGCGAGAGAATTGCACTATCGAAGCAAACAGTCCATTGAGCGAAGGCATAAGCAGAACTATATTAGCTGCAAGGGAATTTCCTTTCCCTTACGCCGCATCCCTACTTAGCGCGTACATTACTGTTTCTCACCACAGTCAGCACCGTTACCACTTGTGACACTCGCCTCGAATATTTCCCGCCACCTCGCCCGTCGCAAACCAACCTCACGGCTCGGCTGGTAACTCGCGCTCCGAGCCTCCGCTTCGACACTTCCCGACTGTCAAATGTTGTAGCCTGTAGTGAGGTTTGTCTTAGGGGGTACAGAAGTTAGGGTTTGTCATATGTACCCCAACCAACATCAATGCAACATCCATTCCTCATTCTGACATGGTATCAGCTAGGTTAGGATCCTGTGGGATCCCGTTCCTCCGTTCTCCGTTCGTACCTCCCGAGCCTGATCCTACCTCTCGTTCGTACCAGTTTAGTTGTTACCGCACCTAGTACCGGGCCTAGCATCATCTCCCCCGTCGCGTCGCGCCCGTTCCCCCCGTCGCGTCGCGCCCGTTCCCCCCGTCGCGTCGCGCCTGTTCCCCCCGTCGCGTCGCGCCCGCCTGTTCCCCCCCTGTCCCGTCGCGTCGCCCTGCCCTGTCCCGTCGCCCTGTCCCGTCGCGTCGCCCTGTCCCGTACCGTCGCCCTGTCCCGTCGCGTCGCCCTGTCCCGTCCCGTCGCGTCGCCCTGTCCCGTCGCGTCGCCCTGTCCCGTCCCGTCGCGTCGCCCTGTCCCGTCCCGTCCCGTCCCGTCGCCCTGTCCCGTCGCGTCGCCCTACCCCGTCGCGTCGCCCTGCCCTGTCCCGTCGCCCTGCTCCGTCGCGCCGCCCTGCCCCGTCGCGTCGCCCTGTCCCGTCGCGTCGCCCTCCCCGTCGCGTCGCTCCCGCCCTTTCCCCCGTCGCGTCGCCCTCCCTAGGCCCTAGCCCGTCGCCCTCCCTAGGCCCTGGCCCGTCGCCCTCCCTAGGCTCTGGCCCGTCGCCCTACCCTAGGCCCTGGCCCGTTGCCCTACCCTACGTTTTGGCCCGTCGCCCTAGCCCGCTCTTCCGCTGCGACTGAGTCCTCTTCCCCCCCGGTTGTTACTCGCCTGTTCGTTCGCGTTGGTTCTCACTATGGCGACTCTGCGAGTTCTTCGTTTCGACGCTGACGGTAGACCCCTTGACTTTTCCGTCTGGCTTCTTCGCGCTCGTCGTCTGTTAGAGAGTCAGGTCCAGGGGGGCGAGACCCTCTGGTCACACGCTACTGGTGACCTCCCCGAGCCCCCCGAGCCTACCGCTTTAGGCCCTGCTCCTGACGACGCTGCTACGGCTCGCTTTGCCCGTCAGCGCGCTGTCCGGACGGCTTGGACGTCGCGTGACGCTGCGGCCTGCATCGCACTCAGCAGCCTCCTCCCTGAGTCCGAGGAGGTCCACTTTACTCAGGTTCGCACCGCTGCTGCGTACCTCACTGCGATTAAGGCCCGCTACTCTACTCCCGCTACTGTCTCTCTCGGCCGTCTTTTCCTCCCGTTCCTGTTTCCTGATCTTGCCTCGTTTGAGCGCTCTGCTGACTTGATCGCTCACCTCCGCTCGCTCGACGCTAGTTACCGCGCTGCTTGCACTGCTTCCTCCCCCCATGGCGATTACTGTCTATTTCATCGCCACTAGCCTCCCTGACCGCCTTGCCTCCGTTCGTGACGCGCTTTTGCTGAAGCACCCTAGTGAGCTGACTATCGAGGTCCTTGAGTCTGCACTCAAGGACGTCGAGAGCAACCTTCGTTCGGTAGCTGCCGCCTCTGGTACTGTGTCCCCCCCACTCTTCCACGGGTGCACAGTCCCGCAGTTACCCACCTTCACTGCCTCTCTTGCCACTGCCGCTACTGACGCGACTGCGGCTGCTGTTACGACTGCGTCGCGGTCCCGCGGTAGGGGGGGCAAGAAAGGTGGTTCCGGTGGAGGTGGAGGCGGAGGTAGCGGAGGTAGTGGGGGTGCTGTTGCGACTGGCGGTGGTGGGAGTGCAGCGTCTGGAGAGACCCCTCGTGCAGCGGCTGGTGACTCCACTGCACCTGCTGGTGGCGGCGACCCTCGAGCTCGTCAGTCGCCTCCTGTACTGCCGGCCCCGCTAGGTGGAGCAGCGGCGTGGTACCAGGCTCAGCGTCAGCAGCACCTTCAGCAGCAGCAGCAGCCCCTTTCCTCCCAGCAGCCTCAGCAGCAGCAGCGTCAGCAGCTGGCTTCGGGGTCGGGGCTGCGTCAGCCCCAGCGCGGTGCTGCTTACCCTCCCTGCCCCTACCAGGTTCAGACAGGTCCTCGTCGGGGCCACCCTTGTGGCCGCTTTCACCCCCCTGGTCAGTGCTTTGCTCAGCTCACTGACACGGTCCGGTTGACCTACGGGGTTGGCGGTCCTGCTCCTGACTGGCTTCCTCTGGTTCAGCGCCACGGCTCCGCTCTGTGGGGCATGTCTGCTGAGCAGTTAGTTGATCTGATTAGTGCTCCTCATGCTATGTATGCTGTTGTTGACTCTAGTGTTTCTGACTCTGTTTACTCTGGTGTTGTTAGCTTAGGTGCTAGTCTTGCTCAGTTGCCTGTTGCTAGTGTAGGTACTTGTGTAGACTCTAGACCAGCGACTACCTCAGAGGACGCTTCGCTGTCGTTCACACTGGACTCTGGAGCCTCCCACTGCTTCTTTCGGGACAGCACGACACTTACACCACTTCCTGCGCCTGTTTCTGTAGCGTTGGCTGATCCCACTACGGGACCAGTCACTGCACGTCACACTACCACTTTACCGTGTCCTGCTGCTCCCTCCGGGTCTCTCACTGGGTTTCACGTCCCCTCGTTCTCCCGGAACTTGGTGGGCGTGCGACCCCTCGTGAGTCAACACGTGGGTGTGTGGTTTGAGCCTTCTGGAGAGACTGCGGTGTGTGTTGACGGAGACTCTTACCAGCCTCTTGCTACCTTTACTGCTGAGCCGGGCTCGGGTCTCTACACTCTTCACACTGGCCCGCGTGCGCCGCAGCAGCAGCCGCAGCAGCAGCAGCAGCCGCAGCAGCAGCAGCAGCAGCAGCAGCAGCAGCAGCAGCAACAGCACCAGCGCCGCACCAGCAGCCCCCCCTACTGCCACTGCCCCCGGTTCCCCCCCCCGTTCGGGTCCCCGCGTCTCACCAGGTTGCTACGTCCCCCCAGGTGTCTGTGTCGTGTCAGGTTCCTACGTCTGTTCCAGTCGCTGCGTCGTGCTCCTGCCGGTCGCTTGCCCACCCCACCGTTCTGTGGCACCACCGGATGGGGCACCCGTCCCTTCCACGTCTGCGCGCTATGTCTAGTCAGCGTCTTGTCCTAGGCCTCCCACGTGTCTTGCCGTCGCTGCCGCCTTCGCCTGCGCCGCCGTGTCGTCCCTGCGTCGAGGGTAGGCTGCGCGCCACCCCTCACTCCTCCTCCCTTCGTCCGGCCATCGATCCTTTTGAGACGCTTCACTTGGACGTCTGGGGCCCAGCCCCTCGTCTAGGCCCTGAGCGTGAGCGTTACTTTCTGGTGGTAGTTGACGACTTCTCCCGCTACACCACAGTGTTCTCTCTGGCGAAGAAGTCTGAGGTGACTTCTACGCTGATCAGGTGGTTGCTCACCACTGAGGACACTCGTGATCGTCGTGTCAGCTGTCTCCACTCTGACCGTGGGGGTGAGTTTCGCTCCGGCATTCTCGCTGGATTCTGTCGCGAGCAGGGCATTCGTCAGTCCTGGACGCTTCCAGAGTCCCCACAGCAGAATGGGGTTGCTGAGCGCCGCATAGGCCTGGTCATGGAGATCGCCCGCACCTCCCTGACTCACGCCTGTGCCCCCCATTTTCTGTGGCCCTACGCGGTCAGGTACGCCGCGCACCAGCTGAACCTCTGGCCACGTGTCTCTTGACCAGAGGTTTCACCGACCAGTCTCTTTGGACAGGGTCCCCTGGTGTTGCGTCGCGGTTTCGTGTCTGGGGGTGCTTGGCTCTTGTCCGCGACACCTCCGCGGACAAGCTCTCGCCTCGTGCCGTCCCCTGTGTCTTCCTTGGTTTCCCTGAGGACTCCTCTGACTTCACCTTTTACCACCCTCCCTCTCACCGGTTCTTTGACTCCCGTGACGTCCGTTTCGAGGAGTCCACTCCGTACTACGTCAGGTACCCCAGTCGAGGTCTCCCGGTTCCTCCTCCCCCCCTCTTCCTGACTGCCGTTCCCCCTCCTGCTCCCCCGGTACAGCCTCCCCCCCCTGGTCCAGCCCCGTCAGGTGTGTCCCAGGCTACCCCTCCTCCTTCGGTAGCCCCTCCGGTACAGCCTCCCTCCCCACAGTCCTCCTCGCAGCGTGCCGCTGGTGCTAGCTCTCGAGAGGTTGGTGCGGCGCCTGTTCCTGTACCGGTTTCTGGTTCTGGGGGTGCTGGAGTTGGAGCTGGAGTTGGCACTGGAGTTTCTGGTTCTGGGGGTACTGGAGTTGGAGCTGGGGTTGGAGCTGGAGTTTCTGGTTCTGGAGTTGGAGCTGACCCGGTGGGTGCAGAGGACTCTTGTCG